GCAGTGCCTTGGTCTCTGAATTTAGTATTTTAATAAGAATTTGTAATATATTTAATGAAAATGCTCCTACAGACAGATGTAATTTTGCTTCTCCCCCGCCACCTAGTTTTAGCACAGAGGTAGGATTTAAACTGCTCCTGCCTTCCCCCCTTACATTTCACACTTCCTAATTAACGAACTCTTCCCTTCAGATGAACCGAAGCTTGTAACGAGGCGACAGCTTAGCGTGTTAGAGAATGTTCATTGTTCACGTGTTTATCTAAGTAGATAAACAGCAACAGAAAGAATGTAGAGTGTCTGCCGGTCCAGAAACATCTGCTCTCGGGCCACGGTAAAGGCAAAGGAAAGGAGTCGCTGAGACAAAGCCTCGCGCATTTTACCGCGTGACGTTGTATTGGAAAGGAGGCAAAGCACTCCGATGATCCTTGCCTAAAACGAACAACTCTAAGTAAAAGAATGGTAGTACTGCACCAGGCAAGACAGGCTGGCGGCCCGACTCAGTTCTCGAATTATACACGACGTGTAGCCCAAAATGACCCAATTCTAATATATTTAAGTTTAAAATGCGCGTCAAATAGCTACTTGTTTACCATGTTTCTTTTTGTTTTAATAAAATTAAATGTAAATATATTGCAATAAAATTCACATTTGTGTGCGATTGTGGGGAAAATAGAATAACGAAAAACACTTCTTAATCATAAGCCAGGGATTAGTAAAAATAGGCTGTTATGATTTTGCTGTCCCGTGTGATGATGGCTTCCGGGACAGCTGACTTTTTTTAAGTGGTCCTTAATATACCTTATGCTCGGCATGTTTGTAATGTACAGGGCTACATAAGTTTTACCAGCAGTGTCACCAATAGTGTCCAGATGCAGTGTTGGGTGCACAGGTTTTTCGCTAAGCCAGGAGATGGTTGTCTTATTTACCGACCACTGCTAAATTGACTCAAGTATTTCTTCTCAGTTGAGTATATATTTACCCTGTGGTCAGTTCAGTGTGAAAGGTCGTATTCATGTCAATCCATATTAAATCATGTCGCAGCTTTGTGCCTCGTACCGTGGTTTGCAGAAGACAATTTCTCTTGGAAGTGTTATTAAATATGCTTCGTATTATTAGTATGTTGTACTAGTCTTTGTAATGAATTTATGAACTGTTCCTTTAAATTACAAGGAAGATACCAGCTTGTTAGGCGTTTTGCAAACTTTTTCAAAAAGACTGTTCGTTTATAACACGTCGCTGGAATTTTCCGCCCCGCACTTCATGTGCGGTATGAGAACTCGTATTTTGTCTTAGGAGTTTATTAAGTACGTCGCTTATTTTAGGATCGTCCTATCTTGACCCATCACAACTGACGGATAGTTCAATACTTAATAAATCTACTGATATTGGTATTGCTATTGACAATAAATAGTAAACATCAGGGATAACTTTTAGATGCCTGCCGTAGAACAAATCCAAAAAGATTAACGTCATGGCTAATTCCATGTTACACAGGCCTGCAATCCTTCGTATTCTGGAGGTCCTGCCTTCAAATCGCGGCCCAGAGACAGACTGCCCTGATCTAGGGTTTTGTTGTTTTCCTCAGTCTATCCACAGAGATGTTAGAATAGTACCTGGAATTATGCCATGACCGCTTCCTTCCATATCCTTTACAATTCTTTATTCATGAATCATCCATTCATTCAACCGACTGCGCCATTAATTAAACTATAAGTACATAGTCGTACTTGAAAAGTCGACATCTGATGATGAATTATTGCTCTGTGGAACTCTTAACACACATCCGCGTGTTCTCAAAATATATGTGTGAGCAATAGGATTACTTGTGTGTGTGTGTGTGTGTGTGTGTGTGTGTTGGGGGGGGGGGGAAGAAGTTCATCGCAAAGCCTTTGTCACTATCATAAGACAACGTCCAAGTGGTGAAGACTGTTAAATCTCGCATTATGACCACTGTGCATGAAGGTGATGTGGGGAGCAGCTGTGGTGCAGTGTGCGTCATTCAGGGGTATGGGGTAGATCTACTACGTCACGCAAATCGGTTACATTGCCCATGCAAATGAAATAACAGATAAGCTAGGGCTTTCGATTGTATCACGAACTCTTGACTTCCGTAGATATGTTCCCTGGGGAACTTTTCAGCACCTTCATCTACGATTCTCAGAACGAAAATAAATGTCACTGAGTAAGATTCAGTGCAAATTTTATTTGTAAGTACCATGAATCACTTTGATGATATTAAACCATTTCCACGAAACGTATGATATTAACAGAATCAATAATCTTAGTACAGGGGTAGACAGTATTTTTTATTGTGGGGTCGGAAGTTACCGCAGACAGGAGAGAGTGGCTAGAAATATTCTCTACTTAAAATCTGTTAAAAAACTTACAATTGTTCGCACTGATTGAACATAACGTATCAATATAGATTAACAAAATACATAATAATATTAAATTCATTTATAATTCCTGAACTGTGATCGGCTTTCTCAGACTATTAAGACATTAATTGAAATGAATCTGGAGAGGATCTCACTATAGATTGATTTTGTAAAAGACTAGCGTCTGTACAAACAGATAAAATTCCACCAGTGTTTCTTGCTGATTAAATTGAAGAAACACATATTCTTTGTAGATGCTAGTTGGTTTCAAATACGTCACAATCGCTCCATCCCACATCTATCCTGATCTATTATTTGCAGTCTTCCTACTATTGACATATCCCACGCGACACTACTTAAACTTATAATTTGATACAGAGTCGTAAATTAATCCAATGAATATTAAAATGACAGTATTATGGCAGACTTTTACAAAGGAGAGGAAAGGTGTGAAAGAAAACAGGTTATTCAGTTAAACTTCTTTGTGGCAAGCAGTCAGAAACATGCGATTATTCGTAACGAAAAGTGCGTGTGTTTGCGTGCGCAAGATATATTTACGAGGATTTCTGTCGATCCAACCAGTCCATCTCTAGAATATACAGGCCGACATTAAATATTAATAAATCACGTACAATTTCAGTTAAATGTACCTTTTAGGAAAGTACAGATTCACTTTTACAGTTTACATGACATGTTAACTGCGGTAACAAACTGTTTACTGTTATGCTGAACATCGAAATTAGGTTATTAGCCACTTTAACTTTTGTCGCAGGACAATGATAAGATACCTTATCCCCCCATGTATTACGATCCCATCCCCTCTTCTGAAACTTAGTTTTTCATTTCCAGTACTTGGTATCTGCGGGTGATAGTAGTCCTATCAACATTGAGATTTTGTGCTGTTGGTAATTTCAAACATTCATCTTAGCTCGAAATTGTTTTACTGTTTATCATTATAAGGTGAGCCTTCAGTTTTAGATCCTAAATAAACAAAATAACATCGTATTGTGTTCAGATAAATGCGTTAGGCATGATCAAATGGCTTAGTTTTTTTGACGTAAATACGTCTATATGGAAGGGTCATTCCGCAAAAAACTGTTACGAAAAAGTGTAACGAAAAAGTGACAGAAAAATGTGTAAGATCCGTATCAACAAATCGACAACAATGTGTAAATATAGACCGACAATTGTCAGCTTGCGTGCATTGTTATGTTACCTAGGAAACGTCGTCTGTTTACTCGGCATTGTTGTGTTACATTACTGCCGTCAACAATCTGCTTTCGTAACAAGATGGATGACATTGAAGATAACATTACATTACTTTACTTTACATTACATTATATTACAGAGACGTATTTACGTCAAATTCTCCGGAACCGCGGTTCCACTGTAACTTTTTCTATAATTTCTTTTGTCAACATTGGTATCATCTTGTTTACAGATGGACAATTTAGGATTTCAACATGATGTCGAAGAAGCGTCCTTCTCTCTCAGCGAAAACAGCAACAATGAAGACATTCAACAATGGTCTAGGAGCCTACATCTTCTTTCTTGCGATAATGGTCGCTGTGACAATATAAGAGAAGCTAGCGCGCAACAATGGAAAACTATCGCAAACACAAACTCAACAAAGCTCGTGTCCTCGTCCTCATTCAGTTTACCAAAGAACAAGACCTTAAACAAGTATAGACGCTTTTCAGAATCGTTTTCGTGTACTAGTCGAGTGCCTTCGTGTGTGGGAAAGATGTTGAATATTCCGTCCAGAGAAGATGTGAAACATGGTAACATAAAATGTTCATCGTTTATTGTAAGTGACAATAATAATGTAAATAAATCTGTGACTGATTCCACCGCTAAATACCAGCAACATTCCTGTGAAGATGGCGGCTACACAGAAGTCCACTGTAACAGTTCAAATCCTCTTTGGTCCGATGAATATCAGCCAAATAATTTGAGGATATGCTCATCACAAAACTTCCAGGGACACAATTCAATGTCATCCTTAATTAACAACGTGCAGGAATGTTCAAACCATGCACCAATGCCTTCTATATCTCTAAATAATAGTTACCGTGAAGGGTACCTGAGTTCGATGCCGTCCTTTTCAAAATCTCCTCTTAATCTTTCTCCATCTTTTTCAAATAAACACAACTTGATTAATGATACGTCACTAGACATCCAAAATACAGTGGCCCAGTCACTAAAATCTACAAACAAATATAGCAACTTGGGTCCTACCCAGGCTTTCCTCAATAATGCTCAAAATTCAGAAAACTCGTCTCCATCTTTGATGAAGAAGCAACATCAGGTTTCAAAAGACGATTCCGACTTGAATTCGACGCAATGCATAATGAAATCACAAAAGAATGTGAATCGTATTGTGAATAGTGCCACATTACCAACAGCAATCATTAAGAACGTAAGGAATCAAAATTTGGAGTTCACATCAGTTATACCAACTGTGTCGGGAACAGTGCCGTTGTATTACTCTGAATTTCTGAATCAGCAACAGGCCTCGCCGAGCCCATACACAGAGAACAGAATGAACATGAGGCGGTCCTCCAGAGTTCTGCCAAGTGGCCGGGCGGCGAGGTTGA